TGCTTTTAAAGGGCCATTTAACCCCCCCCCCCCCCACCAAAAAAAAAATCTATTTTACAAATTGAAGAGATTTGATCCTTCGTTTGAGTTTTTCCTCTCCATCTTGTGTTCTCGTGTCCTACGCCAGCAGATCGCTCCTTTTGCTGCACCAGACCACCAGAGCAATCATGGCCAAGGTGAGGAAAACCGGTACGAGGATGAGGACGGTGAGTGTGTCGTCCGGCGGGTCCATCCATATCACCTCCTCTACGGTGCAGTTGGAGAAAAAGTGCTTGTGTATGTGGATGATGTAGCTCTCTACCAGCGGGTTGGGCCAGTAGCAGTCGACGCTGTGGGACTTCGTCTCTGTGCAGAGCGTGAAGAGGTGATACTCGCTGCGGAGACGGCGAGAGAAAAAAGACGGTTAAAGCAAAACTTCTCAAAAACACACAGCTGCAGAATAAAGGTGAGTTTTATGCAGGCTTAAATTGGTCAAACTGGCCTTTAAATCTCACTTTTGTTTAGCTAGAATTAAGCTCAGCCCCTGGGATTTAGTAAGTAATCCATCTTTGTGACCAGGGATGTGTTGCTATTTACTCCCTTTCTTTTTCTTTTTGCACCACTAGCCTTGTTAATCGGAGGGGCCCTGAAGCCTTTCAAGCTCAGTTTTGACAAATTACACCCAGCCAGACCTAATCCTTCGTCTTCTTCTCCAGTTTGAATTCTTCATCCTCAAACTCCGGCTACAGAGGAGCTGAAGCAGCCTCAGAGCTGCAGGTAAAGTATCAGAGTAAAGGAGGCTAAACATGCATATATGCAGCTCACGTTTTTTCCCACTCCTTGTTTGTTTTCGATCATTTTATGCACCATTCACTGTATGAGTGAATAACTGAGCTGCCAAGCTAAAGGCAGAATTAGAAAGGAAAAATCCCTGCCAAAAATAAAAAATATTACATATTTATGGAAACTCTTGGCAGATCAAACCGTTCATTGTTTTAGTATTTACAAAATATATTAATCTTTGGTCTGACCAAGCTTAGCGCAAATTAATCTGCAACGACAGTCAAAGAAGCATGAATTAATAATGTTGAGAAGAAGCTCCACAAAGAATAATAAAGCAAAAAACAAATAAAATAAACCATGTAAATGAAACTGAGTCGTTATTGTCCTGTGGGGGGAAAAAAATCATTATTTTAAACAACTTGCAACAGCTGCTATACAAATGTGAAAACAATATACATGCAGTAAAACATGTTAGCCTTTATTTTAAACATTGTTTTATTAAACAAACAACGCCAGTAAAGATGTTAAATTAAAAGAGACCTTGTGGGATTTTTCTTTTACTTATTTATTTATTTTCATTATTTATTTTGACCTCCTTTAGTATCCTTCTCACTGTGTGTGGAGGAAAGATAAACTTGGAACGTCGTTCATCCCCGTCTGTCACAGTTGCAGTTGTCTTAAACTTTTTATTTTTAATTATTGCTCCCGCTGTAGATACAGGCAGGTCCAGGCTGAGCCATTTTCCTGACTTATAAATATTAATATGAAGAACATGTGACTATATAAGTGCTTAATGTTCACATTTATATAATAAAACAAAAAAAAAACAGAAAGTCATACGTTACAGTTATGTTGATTGACAGTCTGTTCAACTCTAAAAATACAAGTTTTAAGAAAAAAGTCTCGGTGTTCATCTATTTCATAGGAATTGTTAAAAATGGTGGCAGGTAAACACATTTCTTTTTTCTCTCTCTAACAGGAAATGATGTCATCTTGTGACTTTTAGGACGGGTTGGCAGCGGCGTAAATAGCTCCAGCGTCTTTATCGACTCTTTTCCTCTCGAACATGTGCAGCATGTCAGCTTAAACGTAGACTCAGCCTTATTGACGGCAATGCAGACAACGCCTCTGTAGCTACATGAGCAACAATTGAAGAGGCACGTTAAATATTATCAACAAATTTCTTCTTTTTTTTTCACTCTCAGGAGTAAAGCAGTGCTATTCCTTTTCTTGGTCGTGAGTCGTTTTTAGTCCGGAGTAATTGCTTTAAGCCCCCAGAGTGCGTCAGGTGATGAGGGACGTCGGCGTGGCGTCTCAGAGGCAAAAAAAAAAAAAAAGAAAGCCCCACAGAATCCCACAAAGGGACTGCACTGTTGAGTAAAACATGTTGAATCCATGTTTTACATCTAGACCGTTATGTAAAGCTGCCTCTCATTTTATAGGCGTTTTCCCGGTTTGTAAATAACAACACTAATAGAAAACATGAGCCATAACCCTGAAGCCAAGGACTAATCATATTAACTAATACATTTAGACTGCTGTCCTCCATATGACCTATAAATTAGGCTCCGACGCCAAACTGCGGCCGCTGTTCCAACTGTATCAGATAAACCTGAGTCCCTTTGACGTAACATAACAAGTTTATGCTTGCATGAAGTCATCAGTAGTAAAACTGGAAGCTGCCATTCTGGAGATGGAAGTGGCCGTTTAGATGCCTAATCTGTCATGTTCAGCCAAGTTAATGACATTAACTGATGCCATTCGTACCGCTGGTCACACACACCTAGAGACTCGGTGTGTGTTTGACTGGCAGACGAAACTAAAAAAGACGAGACGGAAAAACACATCAAGGTTTCAGGTGTAGATCAAATTGCAACAGAACGCCACACAGTCGGGATCCACTGGTTATTCCCCAAATGTGTTATTATGCAACACATTCAGAACGGTAACTGATTTACACACGCTGTGCAGGTTAGCCATACGCCTGGACACAAAACCGAATGCATTTTTTACGCTGTACTCAAATTAAGAATTGGTTCATGGATTCATTCTCTCCGTCTGCTTTGGTAAACAGTGTAATTTAAACGTGGTTTATTTATTCTTTTTTTTTTAATAAAACATGTTCAAAACTACTTATGCTGCACCAAGCAGCTGCTCAAAAAATAGCAATAAAACATTGTAAGAAACCTGAGTAAATCATGGAAAATAAATCACTTCTTTTAATAGATAATACGTTTCATTTGCTATATGTCATGCCGAGGTCTCTCCAGAAAAAGAGATTATAAATTGGTAAAAAAAAAAAAAGTGACCAATATAGAGTTCAATAATGTCCTTAGTGGTTTTAAATGAATCATTAACTTATGAAATACTAAAGATGCCCCTGCAGTCTGCAGGACCTCCATGATTGTTTACATCTCCTCAATGCTAAGATATCTATATACCTTCTGCCCAGGGTTGTTTCTCTACAACCCTTGAGTGGTTTCTGACTCTTCACAATCAGTTTCAGCTTCACTGCATCTGTATTTTTTTTTTATCAACTGTCCCACACAGGTTTACTGCGAGCTTCCTCCATTTCCCTGCACATTTACATACAGAAGTGGGACGACGCCGCGTCTTCTCCTCCGAATACCCTGAGCTGATCACACACTCTGAGGCTCAGAGTCCTAAATTAGATTATTCTTTAGTCACGCTGCTAAATTGTATTTCCAAAATGATATTATATCCCCTACGAGCTGCTCCTCGCACTTTTTTCAGACTCCAGCTTGACAAATATATTTAGCATTTAGACAGCAGCATGGAAAACAATTTCCTTCCGTCTCCCAGCAACCGGCCTATATGCGCGATCTACAGCTGTGCATGCTCTCCCCCAGCTGGGAGCGTGTTTCCAGGAGGAGTTCAGCGTGCGACGAGTCTAAGCGCGGGGAACCTAATTGTTGCATGCAGGACGGCATGTGGACACCAGTTGTTGTGCCAAACGCTACACAATAAAACGCCTGGATCGCCGCCAGCCCTGTAGAGACGCGGTTCGGTCGGCATGAAGCCAGCAGGACGAGCTGCTTTTTTTCTAAGTCAGTGTTGACAAATCTACACCAGCGGACACAGGCCACGTTTATAGAAACTCTGCAGAGACCGTTCACGTTCTGGCAGATTTCAAATGCCGTGTTGTGGTCCTAATTCAGTGCGAAGGCAACCTATGTTGTTCCAAAGACTCACAGCAAAGGTCTGCTTTCCAATTTGGTTGTTAGAAAAGCTAAGATTTTCTTTCCGTTAGTCCAGAATACGCTTTGGACCAATAACACTTAGTAGAAACAAATCGTAAAATCCTGTGTCTCCCTTGTGTCTTTGAGAAAATGCTGAGAACAGGCTACATTTTTTGCAGTGAGGTTACATCTTTCAAAGCTGTTCAGTGGACAGTTTCCCTCAGGGGCACCGAGAAAGAAAAAAACGCTAGAGGAAGAAATGACTTACTTTTGAATAATGATAGTCCTTGAGGCCGAGGCACAGAGGGGTTTCTGCTGTGTTTGTCGTGTTGAAAGTTCAAATCAATAGTCCATTTTCTGCCACATATTATTTATAAAATAGGACCCTCCACTTTAAAAGGCATACTAGTTCAATTGTAATCTAAATAGAGAATCAGCCGATCGGAGAGGATCAATTAAATGCATTTAGACCTGAAGAAAACTTGCTAAAGTTCACACTGAGGATCTGAAAGAGGATCAATGCGACTTCAAACTACTCCGAACTAGCAAGGCGTACCTAAAATAAGAGATTTGGGTGTTTATTTCAGAAGAAGTAAAGATATTGTAGTCACAGTCTTCTTCGATAGTTGTGTCACATGTATTATTTCAGATTACTCAAAGATATCCAACAACTTTAAGAAGCTGTAATGACTTCGGAGCGGTGTTTGTTCCCACCTGGACAGTTCACCTGTGTTGAAGAGTCAAGCTACGTGCGAATCATTAAGGCTCACGGTTCCACCGGCGAAGCTGTGCTGGGAGCAAAATCAATGTGAAGAAAATGAATGAAGCAGAAACAACTGTGCACACTTTGCCAGTGGTCTATCCGGTGGCGCAGGGTCGGTACCCAGATTTTAATAAACAGAATGAACGTTTAGTCATCAGTGGTTGCCGCTCAGTAAAACAGGGTCAGAGCTCTCCGAGCCCCCATCCCTCCACATCACTCTCTGCCTCCGTCTTCTCCTTCCACTGCTCCCTTCCTTTTAACTCCTATGGGGGCTAAAAATGTAAAAGTCCTGGCAAAGCATTCACATTCATGTCAATAAAGTGGGAGCAAAAGTCATGACTCATGGGTTCAAATCCCCGCTGGTTCAGTTGGTTTTCTCTGGTTTCCAGTAACAGTCCAGAAACGAATATACAAGAAATGCACAACAGTGACGACGTGTCCTTAAACGTGAAGGAAAATGCCTCCTAGTCCAGAAGTTGCAAGAACGACACCTAACTCACAGTCATAAAATTGTGTGATTTCTACTCAAAGTTATCATACCATGAAAAACCCAATCAGTAGTTTTGTCAAATGTCATGTGCAACATCTGTTTACAGATAATAAACATGCTTAATTATAATCGAATACCTATCATTCAGCCTCATTTTCAGTATCTTTTGCTTGCACAACTCGAGGCCTCAGTCTGAGGATACCCTCCTCTGACTATGTTTTACTTTTCCATGAATTTAAATAAAACATTAGTTCTTAAAATCAATGGGATTGCCAAATACTGAACAATCTCATGGGTGAATGTGGTGAATGTTTTTTTGGTTTTTTTTTCTGAGAATTTACCCCCCGCAAATGGAGGCAATCATTTAGACTTCAGTGCGCGTGCTATTGTGCAATAAACCTGCTCTCGTAGCAGTTTAGACAAAAGTACGAGAGCCAAGAGGTGGAAGGGAGGAATTAGGTTTAAAAGTTGGATAAAAATAGATACAAATAGGTGGTGGAGAAATACGGATCATGAAAAGCAGATCCAGTTTTGGGAAACATACCTCCCACAGAGCCTTGTGGAACTATTCATGCACTTCAAACTTTTTCACATTTGATTTGCAGCCACAAAATTCCACAACTATTACTCGCACAAAGCAGCGCATAATTGTGAAGTCGGAGAAAGGAAAAAATTCAAACTGTCAAGTGTTTTTGCAAATGGTACCCAGCACTGTGGTGTGAATTTGTATTCAACAATTCATCTAATTACTAAACAGAGTCCACATGTGTGCAATTTATCCGCAGTATAAACCCAGCTGTTCGGCGAAAAAAAGAAAAAAAAAACAAAAAAAAAACAGGAAGTACGAGGAACACAACAGGGAGGTCAGTAAAGAAAGTTGTGAAGAAGTTCAAAGAAGTGTGAGGTTATAAAACAACATCAACAACTAACAGAGTTTAACGGTTTAATCCACCACCTGGAATTACAACAGCACAACTGCAAACATACCAAAACACGAGCTTACACCCCAAATGATAGGCTGCATGAAGAGAAACCCGTTAAGAATAAATCACATTTGTAGTTTGTCACAATCTGACACATGGGAGGAAGTGATGTGGTCATTGGTTGTATTTGTCATTAGAAAACTACAAATACAACAACTTAACTTGGAATAATAAGACATCAGATAAAATTTTAGTAATCCAGTCACATGGACGGTATTGCACTGACATCTTTTCAGGAACACAAAGGAGGCCAAAGCATATAACTCCATCTAATTTATTCCAGGAATATAAGAAATTAGGTTAGACAGCAATAAATGCCTCCAAAAGCAATTAAAACTCAAGTGATTATGTCTGTCTTAATTTAATTGTCTGCTACCTGTGAGGAAAATGAGTCCATGACTTTGCATAATGCATGAGGCATTTAAAGAGAACTAACATATAGAAAACGTTGGCGTTCTCCCTCAATATCTGCATTAGCATATGGTAAAGTGACCTCTGGAAGTGACCTCCTAAACATCTGGAGCAGGTGTAACAACAGAGGGACAAAGGCTAGTGACAAAATAAACTGCAATGGTAAATTCTTCCAGAAGAAATGTGCCAAAAAAGGTTTTATTAGCATAAAAAGCAAAGCAACTTGAAAAGATTCACAATGCAAGAAAAGGAGGGTAATAGAAGGATCGCGTGTTGAAAATGTGAAAAAGATTCAAAAAGAGTTTTTGGGCACGCAGAGCGCTCAAAGAGCCGTATTTACCTGTTCACACACACCGATACACAAATCCGTCGTTCACTTGGGGTTATGTGCCTTGTCCTTAAGAAACTAGGATGATGGATAAGAGCATGATCTAGTTGTAATCATTTTTTTTCTTTGTCTCTCTTGGCAAGCAACTGCTGAGATGGAATATCTCCATCAAAGATTCTGGACACGGTCCGAGAAAAGATTTAGTCAGTGGGCAGGTTTACCCACATTTGTTCAACGACTCCAACCGTTCCGATTGCTGACTTTAGTTGATAGATGAGCTCTAACTTCTTAGATATTGGAGAAGGCTGCAGACGCAGGCCGTGCTCTTTCACTGAGCAGATCTGAGTGCTACTACCACCCAGTAGGAAATCCAGACATCTCTCTCTCCCAAACGATGTTCTCCGGCTCATTCAGGGAAATCCCAAGGGGTATACAATCCATCCAGCAAGTTTTTGGAGTCCTTCTAGTGGGAAGTGCCTGGAAAACATCCAAAGGGAGATTTTCCAGGCATGTTTGCCTTGGAGGCCTGCAAGGCATCCTAATCTGAAGCCTCAACAACCTCAGCTGTCTTCTTTCAATCTGAGGGAATATCAGCTTCTCCCAGGAGACGGAGGTTTTCACCGCACGTCTAAGGCTGAGTCTGGCAACCTTAGACATGTTGAAGATCATGACCACAGACTTGGAGGAACAGCGAACCTAAAAACATTCGAAACTTTAGCATAGTCTGATGTTGCTCATGAGTCTTACCCTTCATTTGTCTGCTGTATGGTGTTATGTGCGTCTACGTTGAGATGCCAAGACCAGAGCGGTAGCTGGGAACCCTTGAATGATGCCCCACAACCTCCAGAAGAAAATCTATCCAAAACTTTTTGATGTATTCTGTCAAGAGCAGCGAGGAAACCCTTTCTCCTCTTGGCATAAACTTTAAATGCAAGGCTTAAGTTTTAATTAAGAAATAAAACCTCATTTCTACAATCTACTCCTTGATGCTAAAACTAAATCAATGCTAAATAATCTTTTTTTAACAGTAGAAAAAAAGTGCTTTCACATTAAACTAACACCAGTACAGTTAGCCAAAAATGCTATTATTCAGGCATCACCCACAAACGGACACAAATGATAATTCAAAATTCTCTACAGTTTTTCCTTTACATCTACAGTGAACAACAAGCGTCATCTGGGTTGATATACTCAACCCAGATGCTATGTTTAGTTCATTATTCATCAGCAAAGATGAACTTTGCATGACCCATGTTCTTAACTCTTTGAAAAGTGCAAGATGTACGGCCTTGCTAAGTTTGCAAACCGAGAATCCAGAGGAACAAAGTAATTCAGCATGACACGCAGTGCAGATGAAATATGAAAAGATAATTGCGTGGTACAGATATTTGTATTAGTGCATAAATAAACTGAGACCACCATCAAGTGCCTGCATGCAAGAAAACATGAAAAAACAGGGGGGAAAATGGAGGTCATCAAAGGTGAATGTGAGAATATGGGCCAATGAGGAGTCATTCCAAAGTAGAGCTACTTCAGCACAGAGAAAACCTTAGTGCTGCGTCAAGCTGGTTTAATTGTATTGCTGCCTGGTGTACGGGGCTGAAGACCTGCCAGAGTGTTCACGCTAAATCTGAGAGGACCTACAGCAGCTGTGTTAGCATTAAAGGGGAACTGGTGAGCAATTACGAAGGACTGAGGGTTTTTTCTGTCCTTTTACATCATGTGGAAGGTTACTGAGCCTTGTTTACTTCAGAATGAGGTGGCAGCAGAGCACAATGTGAGACGAGGGCAAAACAACGATGGCAAGTTGAAGCTTTTCACCAGAGGTTCTTGACTGCCCTTCATGTTTTCAATGTTTCCTCTGGTCTAGAGACCTTACTCGTTGCTGTAATTCATACCTAAATATGAGGAACTCCTTAATAATAGAGATTTCCTAACGTTGGCTGCATATTTCCTCCTTCTGGGTAAAATGGCTCAGAGAACAAAGTGTTCAGGGTAGCAGGATTTTTAATCCCTTTCCCTTCCTTACTTGATCCATCAGCTGCGAGGTGTGAATTACTTAGCAAATACTGATCGCTTTCAGCCACACTTTCACGTATTATAGTGTCATATGATGACATGAACAATCTATCTTCAAATCTCGTTTTACCTCATGAAGTATGTGAGGTTGCACCATTGCTCCGGGTCTACGTGAGCCATGTCCCTCTTGAAGTCTTCCCCGCAGACCTCCACCTCCCACCGGAGACGGGACTCGTTGCAGAGCCTCCTCTGCCAGGTAATGGTGGGCTCCAAGTTGAACGTGTCAGAGGCTGTCAAGAAATAAGAACAAGGTGAAGCGCTGATCGATGGGGGGCTGGGTGTGTGATTGGACTGACGGATGGATGTGCTCACCTGACGTCCCGCTCATCATCCAAGTATTAACTGTAAGAAGGAAAAAGTAATAGAAAACACTGTCAGGTTCTCATTTGGATTTACTCAGAAAGAGAAAAAACTCTGGGCTCTTTCACTTCCAACACTGAAATCTTAACTTTGTTGTGCACTTAACCTTTACTCAAGCATTTGTCAGGTTTGTTTTTGACGAACCCGTGGCTCGTTTCTCAGCTGAATATTAATGCCTACTTGGTGCTTTTTAGCAGCGGAAAACTTAAGTTTGTTTGGTTAAATGTCAACAATTAAAAGGACTCAGTCTGAGTGTAATTTAAACTACGCAAAGGTCACACATTGTGAAGCACTGAGGCGGTACGCTGGGTCTTTCAATTAAGCTAGTTAGCTCTGATGCTTTTAATATGGCGTCTTCAGGACTTGTTTCTCATTAGAGCGACTCACAGTCACAGTAAAACGTTTCATAATGAAAAGAGTGCTTTGCATTTCGCCTCCCTCTGTGATTTACTGACACAAAAACACAAGTCATAGGTGGTTATGATGTGTTTATGTGCATAGATGACTACTTCAAGTCCAGAGGGAACTCCCACAAGATTCAAGTCTTCACATTATTATATTCTTTATGAGCAGATAAGTTATATGCTGATGGCACTGTCATTTACTCTTCATACTGATACTCATGCTAAACTTTGTGGATACATTCAACATTCTTCCAACAGAATAAAAAGACAGGTCTGCACCTCCCGGCTTGCTTTGGAGGTGCAGTGGAGCAAACATTTCTCGAACAGCCTGGCTCAGCACTGCCTGGACATTTTGTTTTAACTAGATTGATGACAAATGCATTTTAAGTAGGATGCGTTTTAAAAAGTCTTTTCCTTTTATTTTTGAAAAAAAAAAAAAGGACCAGAATCATTTCCTTTTAGAATAAACACTAAACACTAAACTGATCTAAAAATCTACCTTTTGCTCGTTACCAGCTTTGGAGATGCACTACAGTATAAATTTAAATGTGTTGTTGAGTAATGTCTGTTGCTTATCGTTGCTGTTTTCTTATAGTTTCACTTTTTTTCTGTGATTAGCAACAACAACATCTGGTTGAAAGGCCTTTCTGTTCCCCAATCGGCAATGAATAATTTAAATGAGACGATTGCATTGCAAAGATGTATCCACCAATCTTTACTCAATGTAAAGACAAAATGAGAGTTTTCTAACTCCTTACATCTGCAGTATTGGTCTGAATAATTATATTTTTAGTTGAAGAGCGCTTGTTGGTGTGTTCAAACACAAAACCCCACGGGGAGCGAGGCGAGTGCATGGCAGAGGAGACGCGTCTTGTCATTAATCATTAACAAGCATGTCTTCAGTGGAAGCTGTGAAGGTCAACTCGATGGAGGGGAACTACCTGGACGGGTTTGTGAACAATTCCTCTGTGCTTTGCAGCGTCTTTGTAAGCTGAACATTAGTGGTCGTTAGTGTCCCTCTTCAGTATTTAGACATCCATTTACATGCTTGCAATTCCATTCTCCATGTTTGTGTCTTTTTTTTATCACTTAATGTTCTGCGATCCAAACTCTGGTTCAAGCTCTGGTCAAAGCTAAACAATACTCAGCACGTGAAGGTAAATCTCCCCTTTTTTTTTTTTTTTTTTTTTTTGAAAATTTCAAAGGGGGGGCGCCTTTTGGATGTAGAC